CCGCTGCTAGTGCGTGTGGCCCCAGCTGTGTTCTGGAACCAGCTAGGCCGGTCCTGTCCCCTCTTGAGGAGGTGGGAGGTAGGGGGACCTCCTGAGGTAGGGGAGTTTCTCATAGCTCGTCTCCTAGAGCCCTCACTAGACATCAGGCCTTTATCTTGTGATAAAACAGATCTATTTATATTTATAAAAATAACAATTTAGTACATCGTAAATGGGATGTTACTGAAGTTTAAGAACCAGATGAATTTTAAATGTGAGAAGTTCTAGATAGTTGTAGGTTTGCATCTTTCAGTATCACCAGTTGAAGCATTTTAACTATTTAGGATATAACTGTTTCTATAATGTGCCATGTATATCCAGGTTTTTTCCTACGTGTTTCTCAGCTTCATTGAGGTATAATTGACAAATTCGTAAAATATTTAAAGTCTGCATCTTGGTGATTTGATGTATGTATACATTGTGAAAGGATTCCCACCATCTAGTGTAACTAACACATCCATCACTTCACATATTTATCTTGCTTTTGGTCAGGACATTTAATTTCTGCTCTCGTAGCAAATTTCAAATATATAAAACAGCGTTATCAACTGTAGCCACCGTGTTATCCCTTAGCTCCTCAGAACCTGTCATCTTACAGCTGAAAGTCTGTGCCCTTTACCAGCCTGTCCCCATGTCCCCCTCCAGGCCCTGGCAGCCAGTTTTCTAATCTCTGTTTCTGAGTTTGACTTTTTCTTTGTATTCCACATGTTTTTGCAAATCTGATAAGGGGTTTATATCCCAAATATATAAAGAATACATACAGCTCAATAGCAGGAGGAAAAAAAAAAAGAAAAGGAAAAAAACAGCAAACCAATCCAATTAAAAAATGGGCAGAAGGGGCAAGCCCCATGGCGTAGTGGTTAAGTTCAGTGTGCTCTGTTTTGGCAGTCCAGGTTTGTGGGTTTGGATCCTGGACATGGACCTACACTACTCGTCAGTCTGTTATGCTGTGCTGGCATCCCACATAAGATTGGCACAGATGTTAGCCCAAGGCCAATCTTCCCCAGCAAAAAAAAAGAAGAAGAAGAAGAAAGAAAGAAGGAAGGAAAAAAAATTTAAAAGTAAAAATTGGGCAGAGGAACAGAATAGATGTTTTTCTAAAGAAGACATACAAATGGCTAAGAGGTACATGAAAAGGTGGTTAAAATCATTAATCTTCAGGGAAATGCAAATCAAAAGCACAATGAGATATCATCTCACACTTGTTAGAATGGCTATTATCAAAAAAACAAGAGATAACAAGTGCTAGCAAGGATGTGGAGAACAGGGAACCCTGTACACTGTTGATGAGAATGTAAATTGGTGCGGCCACTGTGGAAAACAGTATAGTGGTTTCTCAAAAAATTAAAAATAGGACTACCATCTGATCCAGCAATCCCACTTCCGGGTGTATATCCAAAGGAAACGAAATCAGGACACTGAAGAGCTTTCTGCACTCCCATGTTTATTGCAGCATTATTCACTGTAACCGAGTGACGGAAACAACCTAAATGTTCAACAGGTGAAGGGATAAAGAAGATGTGGTATATATACAATGGAATATTGTTCAGTCACGAGAAAGAAGGACATCCTACTATCTGCAACAACGTGGATGGACCTTGATCTTGTTATGCCAGACAGGGAAAGACAAATACAGTTTTGTTTTTATGTTTTTTGTTTTAATTTTTGTGAAGAAGATTGGCCCTGAGCTAACGTCTGTGCCAGTCTTGAGCTATTTTGTATGTGGGATGCTGCCCCAGCATGGCTTGATGAGTGGTGTGTAAGTCCGCACCTGGGATCCAAACCTGCGACCCATGGGCTACCTAAGTGGAGTGCATGAATCCAACGATTATGCCGCTGGGCTGCCCTGTTTTTTTGAAGTAAATATTGTTGGGTGTGATTTAACCGTCAGACCTATGGGGACTGTAGTCTTAACCATTTCTCGATGGCAGATGACTGCTGTATTTCTGAGTGTTGTGTCTGCATTTTATACTTTTTTGCTTTACGTGTTCTCATTGTGTCGTGCCCCCTTTTTTGATAGTGTCATTCTTAACACCAGCCACCCCTCTTCACATTCTGCTTCGATGATGGGCAGGGAACCACCCAGCCAAAATAAAACTACAGTCCATTCTGCTGCTTTTTTGTCAGCTGTGTCTTTAATCTGTGAGTTTCGAACTGCTTCCTGCTAAATGAGGATTTCACATAGTTGAATAATTTGTAAAGACTGTTAATAGTAGGAATTTAGTTGTCATGAGGTGATTCTGTAGTACTTTTTGATTCTGTTAAGATTACTTAACTTTCTGAGCCAGTGAAGTGTTAGGTCTGCATAGAATGCCAGTGTAAGTATCGTTTAGAAGTAAGTTTGACAGAAAAGTGGTGGTTATGCCACCATGCTCTTCTCCCTCACACTGATGACAGATCCCACTAATCCATCCTGCTGTTCTTTCAACTTAGAGACGCCCATGTGGTCCTTGCCACAGCACTTGAGATAGATACAGCCCACCAGTTAAGACAGAACTACGAGTGTAGCCTCTGCATATCAGAGGGAAGTGTTCCCGTTACTTAGCAGGGCTCAGCCTGAATCTTCACTCAGTCATTACACTCCCCAGGAGTTCTAACTCGGAGGCATGATGTACAAATAGGTAAAACGAGAAAAACTTCCAAAGGTAACAGGATTTTGTTACTAAGTAAAGTATTACGCCAGCATGAAGGATGCAAACCAAAATAAGCTTCTAAAAATGCAGAGTTCAGCTCCCTCTCCAAGACTGTGTCTGGTGAAAATGACCAGTGAGCTTATGGTTCACCACCGCCCCCCCAAGAAGATTCAGACTGTAATCTTTTAACTTTGGAAGCCAGTGAGGAAAGATGTAAGGTCAACTTAGTCTTTGAGTTAGTAACACTGAGCTAATGCCAGGTTGCTGTCCATGACTTACTGAAGTGTCATCTCCTCTTGGTGTGTGTTACTGCATTGTCGAGCAGGGCTTCCTCTCCCCCTGATTAAAAAAGGAAACTTCACAGTGGGAAAGGTAAGTATAAGGGAGGGTAAAGTGGGGCTCTTCCTCTCTCGACTGAGGTACTGACACAATAGATGTTGGATTCCAGATTGAAGTGCAGGGTTTACAGAGGAAATCATGGAGAAGTGATCTTGCTCTTTGCATCGCTTGCCCTTTAGAAAGCATGAAGGGATGAAGAGAGAGCCACTGGAGAAGGGGAGGATTCATGAGATTTCTTTGGCGACAGCTGTGCTGGCTGTGGAGGATGGTGTGGAGGATGTGTGCCCTTCTTCACTCAGGCCTGGTGGGTGCGGCTTCCAGGGGCCCCCAGGTAAAAGTGTTCCCTGGGTCTGTGAGACAGAGGCCCTGGCGCTGAGGGCACTCGAGCAGTGCAGGTGGATAGGAGAGCTGTCCCCCTTGGGGAGGGTGTTTCCTGGGACCAGGTGAGCACCTCACTGAAGAGAGCGGCTTCCAGGCCATTGTAAATTGGGCCTACGGGGATTGGTCACCTGTAAGTCGAGGGGCTCCAACAGGGAGTGCTTTTGGGTGAAGATGGAGTATGGATCTTGGACAAGGCTGCCTGCTTTCTGAATCGAGGTTGTGTTTGTAATAATGTGGCGTCAAGACTCTCTCAGATAAGAGTGAATAGAGGTCATTGGAGGGGCCGGCCCGGTGGTGCAGTGGTTAAGTTTGCACGTTGTGCTTCAGCGGCCCGGGGTTTGCTGGTTCGGATCCTGGGTGCGGACATGGCACCGCTTGTCAAGCCATGCTGTGGTAGGCGTCCCACATATAAAGTAGAGGAAGATGGGCACAGATGTTAGCTCAGGGCCAGTCTTCCTCAGCAAAAAGAGGAGGATTAGCAGCAGATGTTCGCTCAGGGCTAATCTCCCTCAAAAAAAAAAACGTCATTGGACCTTCCCACGTTTTCTTCCAGGGTAGGAATAATTTCCTCCATTGAATAAATTTTAAAGAGACACTGGGCTATAACATAATGTTGTGTCCTGTCTATACCCTGTGAGTTGGGCTTATCTAGTGGGGGTGGGGAACATGTTTCAGTCAGAGGGGACAGCAAGATCAAAGGAATGAAGTAAAAACAAACATGATGTGCACAGGAAAATATGATCCCTTTGAAGTTGCTGAAGCTTCAGGTTTGAGGATTAGAGTGGCAGAAATGAGTCCTGAGAGAAGCAGGTTCGGATCATGGAGAGATGTGGCTACCGAACTTCGACTTCATCCTGCATAGATGCAGGGTCTCGAGGACGGGCTGCTAGCTCATAGGCTTTGTTGGGCAGGGTCTACCATGTTACTTTTGCTCTCAGACACAACTGTCTGACCTCCAGCCTGGAGGCTGACCTATAGTGGATATTTAATTAGTATTTGAACAAATAAATAAATATATTGATCCAGAAGTTGACTTTGAAAATAATGGCAAGAAAGTGAGCTGCATGAGTATATTGCCTGTTATCATAAGCTTTTCTTAAAATTATTCTAGACATGGACTGTAATATAAGTACTGTGTACTTAGATCTAATTTTATCAGGCATTATCATTAGGCATTAGTATGTGTTAAAACAAATTTCATATAGGTCTTTAACAAAAAGCATTTTAGCAAACTGGTTTAATGCTTTAAAATTTTAGTGTATGCAAATTTTGATTTTTATCATTGAGTGTGGAATGATTTTATGTTTGGATAGATTTCATAAAGATTCAACTCAGCCTCTTCGAATCTTATATTCTTTTATTGATGTAATTTCTGTATTTTAACTAATTTCCTGTTGTATATATCCCATCAAAGTTTCTATGATAGGAAATCAGCTGAAGTGTAGGAAATATATTTTTACACACACACAAACATAGGCTCCATAATGTATGATGTATAATTGTGATGGTTTTTATTCATATTTATTACACAAGGTACTCTGGGATGTCTGTTACGTCTTTGTAGTAATAGCACCTGAGATATATTTTAAACCTTTTTTTCTCTCTCAGAAGTAAATTTCCCCAGAAGGACTTAGAAATGCTGTTTCCTGGAATGAGTGCTGATTTTACAAGTGAGAATTTTTCGGCTTCCTGGTATCTCATAGAGAACCACTCAACCACCAGGTTAGTGGATGCTAGACAGTTGACTGTGAGCAGTTTTCCTCGGATGCGGCTCATAGGATCACACAGTGACATGGGTTTTAGATCTGGCTCTGCTACTGAGGAGCCCTTTCACTTTGGTGAGCTCAGGAACATGTCAGGGTGTCTATTTCCTTATTTATAGAATGGGGTTACTAGAGGAGCCTTGTTTCCTAGTATCATCTTGTTTCTATATATTTCATTATTTGTGCAACCCATTAAAACTTTGTGGAGTCTCAGCTGGGTATCTAAACTGATGCATCTGAATGTGACCTCTTCCTGTTCAGATAACAAAACTTTCAAGTCCTGGTGTACAATAGGGAACACACCTCATTCCCCGACCATAGAGCAAAGAAGATGAGTTGGTTTATCATTTTGCAAAGACTTGGCTTAAAATTAGCCAAAAAATAGGTGGGGTCAAATGTACAAATTAAACTACTCCTTTTTGTTTGCTAATAACGTTGTACTCTCTCTACAAGAGCAGGTTTGTAACTTTTTTGCAAAACTGGTTTAAAACGATTACACTTAGTAAAACTGTTTGAATAAGTGAATGGTTTATCACTTAAAATTTATATTCTTGAAAAATCAACTTTGTTGGAATGTACTTTGGGAGAAATTCTTCCTTTGCCTATTAGGATAAAAACCGTTACTAGAAAACATGAGGAAAAGTTGGTATATACATAGAGTGACTTTGGCCTGATAAATTTTTAAAGCAGATGTCTGAAATCTTTCATTGTAGAAGATGGTTCTGATTTCCCATTAGGGATGTGCTTCTTCTATTTACTGTAAGTCTGAATTGATTGATCTCTGTTTCTGTGTAGGGCTTTCACGGCACTCAAGAATATATTTGAAGTTTTATAGCCAAATTTTCTTAGCTCAAATGGAAAGAAACCTTCTGCGATACAGAGGCTTACCTATTTTTTCTCTGCTTGAGTTGTGGAGATAAAATATGGTGGTCTTTTTAGTTATTTAAATTGTGCATTGATCGCCAGTTTTCTGTAATTTCTCTGCTGATGACAGAGGACTGGCACTGCTGTAGTGAGGACGGCAGTGTGCCTGGCTTCATCCAGAAGGCAGAAGCGAACATGCAGAGGATCCTGCCGTAGGTAGCGGGCACACCTGCATGAGCCGGGTCTTCCCACCAGGGAGACGATATTCAGAACTCCTTACCTGGCAAATCATAATAGATATGTATCGGTTATAAAATTATCTACATATTTATTTACGTTTTAGTGATCTGATGTGTTTGGCTACAAAACTCTTTTATAGCTGCTGTAATTTTGGCGTGCATAATAAGTAAAAGGTTTAGATCTAGGTAAGAATTGGAAAGCTTTTTGTTCTTATCTGGTTACATATTACATCAATTCTATCTTTCTTAACATAGGCTTCAGTATTTTACACTTAATGCATTATCTTATTTCTCTTTTGCTTGTTAGGAGTCTCAAACTTTTGGTTTCTTTCTTTCACTTTAGTTTTGAACAGCTCAAAACGGCAGTCACCAACCTGAAGAGACAGGCTAGTAAGAAGAGCGAAGGCAGCCTGGCGTATGTGAAAGGGGGTCTTAGTACTTTCTTTGAAGCACAGGATGCCCTCTCAGGTAAGGCAACCCTCAGAGCCATCTGCTGCGACCTCCACGAGGAAACCTGACACTGGGCTTGTGCAGTGTTTACAGGGTGCGACATTCGGTCTGTATTTATAAAAGTAGGGATCTAAAATATGCCATAAATACTTGTTGCAGACTAGGCTGGAATCTCTTTGAAGGCTTGGCACTTTAAGTATTTGTCTTGGAGCTTTTGTTGACCCAGCGTACGTGTGTGAAATAGGAGACTGCTGTGCCTCTCCACGATGCCCAGTCTCCAGGGCCAGTGAGAAATTAAATCCCAATGGGTAAAATTCTACAATTTTTAAAATCATTTTACAGCCATCGATATATTACAAGTGACTGTTTCTTTAAATGTGACCCATTGCGTGTTTGTTTTGGAGAGCACAGATAAAAGGTATCATTCTTTTTAGCCAGCGCCTCACTATGCCTATACACAATAGTTAGCTGTGCACCATCCACGTCATCATCTTTATTTGCGAGAGAATTGTATTAAATAGAAATAGCTTTAGACATTTCAGGGAAAGATATTGGGTAGGTTCTTTTCTAAAACTATCTTTAATTAATAGAAATCAAATTATTGTTTATCTAGTAAAATATATTAATAAAAGTTACCCAATTCTTTTTAAAAACAGACACTTGTAAAAAAGTACCTGAATAGATAAGTACCTATAACTCTACCTGTAGACTAAGAGGCAATCCCTTCTTGAATTCAGAAAGACTTAATTTTTTTTTGTAAATTTGTATTCTTAAAATATAGACATTCTTTTATTATTTTTAAAACCCTTCTCCTCCTGGGTATTATGCATTGTTGACTTCTGGCAAATTAACTATGCATCTGATACAGGTCTTTCCTTGTGGGTAGAAATTAGGTTTTTGGAGTAAAATATGAATGCCTAAGAGGGAACAGAGGAGTTCTTTGTTCTTTGATAAATACTCTGTGCCTTGTATTGTTTGGTATGCTTTCATTTTTGATGGTGTGCTTTCCTTTCTTTTTTTGTGCATATTGATATTCTCTCTAAATTATCAGTGTTGTTACTATGTCAGCAATAGAAACCTGAGCATATATGAACAGAGGTTAGTTTTAGCAAGTAGAATTAAGTTATTAATATAGCTAGCACTATGCAAATGCTAATTAGCCATATGTGATTAGCTTAGCAGTTCTCATAAATTATTGTAATTAAAATTATTTCACTTACCAAAAAAATCTTTGACTCCCCCCCTTTTTTTTAACTTGTATTTGTATACACATGTATATTGGTATTTGTTTATTTATGGTTTTACTTCTTTAAATGGCTTTTTGGCAGATTTCAGGAAGTTTTATTTGGTACATTAAATTTATGTAGTCGCATTTATTAGACGTTTGCCCTAGAAGTATACTGATAACTTAAAGTTTAACACAGATAATGCTGACCAACTTCTGATAAGCAAGTGACTCCATGGCATATAGAAAATTATTTTAATAGTAAATTTGAAAATTTTAGGCAAGCACATATATCTGACTTTTCTATTCTTTGATGTAAATGAAATACATATTATAAAAAATATTAAACAGATAAATAATAAGCAAGAACTACCTGTAATCCCGTTGTAGAGAGAATCACATTAACATTTTGATGTGTTTCCTTTTGGTCTTTTTTTTCTTAGCTTATATGAGCACAATTGCAAAATTGGAATTACCTTGCATATAATGTTGCATGTGTTAGAAACCTCTTTTATTCTTTCAGTTGCTCCTCTGAGTAATTATTTTAGTATACTATGGCATTTGATTTATTAGTAGCTCTTCAGAAACTTTTCCAACTATAATCTTGAGTAAAATTGACCGGTAGTTTTTTAAAATGCTTTTTGGTCAGGTTTTGATGTTAATATTGTACAGAATTATATGAACCTATACGTGTATATGTGTGTACTGTGAAATGGGTTATGTAGATTAGGAGTTATATGTTGGAAATTTGAAACAGTAATACATTGAAAGAGCTAATAAATTGTCTACTCAGGTAATTTGTTTTACTTTTCTATTATGAAAAATTTCAAACATGCTAAACATGGAGAGAATAGTGCAGTCACCCACAGCTCCCTGTTGCTTAGATTGAACAGTTATGAATATTTTTCCACACTTGCGTCATGAGTGTCTTTGAGGTTGGTTGGTGTTTAGCTGGTCTCAAGCAGCATGACATTTCTCTCCCTGTACTCAGTAAGAGTCCCCCAAATAAGGACATTTACCCACATAATCCCAATACCATTGTCACAGCTAAAGAAGTTGCAGGAATTCTTCAGTGTCATCCAATTCCTAGTTCATAGTCAAATTTCCCCAAGTACCCTCCAACTTTCTTTTTTATAGTTGGTTTGTCCAAATCAAGATCCAAATAAGGTCTAGGCATTTCATTTGTTTTTTAAATCTCTTAAACTTCTTTTGAACTAGAATAATTCCCTCACCTTTCTACCCTGTCTTTTGTTTTTTTTCATGCTAGTGATTTGTTGAAGAAATGAGGCTATTTGTCCTGTAGGACAGCCCATCCTCTGGATTTGATTGATTACTTCCTCATGGTGTCATTTAACTCATTTTACTCCCTATTATATTGCTTCAAGTTATCTAATTGGATGCTGGATAAGATTCAGTTTCAACATTTTTGGCCACACGTGGTACTGTGTGCTTCCTATTTTATCACATCAAGAGCTGTAGTGTCTGCTCATTCCTCCTGTAGAGCTGCTATGACGGGTCACTGGGTTCAAGTGGGATGGGCGCTGGCAGTTGCACGCTTCTGAACTTTCTACTTTGTGTGTTTTGTTTATTTTGGTTTGGTTTTTCCCTGAAGTTTTCTATTTCATCAACATTTTCATGTTACTTAGTATTGCATTATAATTTTTAAATCATTTAAAATTCATGTTATGGGCCCATGTTATTATTAATTCAGTTAATTTGTAATTTACTTCCTTTATTTACATTGATTTGTTAGTGATGCTTTTATGTGTTTTTAAAATTTGAAATTTTAATTTTCCTCTTTGATTTAGTAATTTGTAGTGGACTTTTGATTTTTTTAAGTTAGTGTCTAGTCTTAAAGTATTATGAAAATAAAATGTGTTTAATACATATCAATTGTCTGTAACTGTGCCAAAGATAAAATTGGGAGGGGTCATGTTTGATACATTATAGCCTGAATAGTTACTTTATTTAAATCTAGGTTATTTATAATAAACATACCTGGTAAATCTCCCTCTTTATTTTGATTCTGTCAGTTTTTCTTTGTGTGTAAAACATGTTTACTTTGTAACTTTTGGTGGCGTGCACTCTCTTGATATTAATGTTATATGATAATGTAATAATAATAACTGCAAAATTTGAGGCAGGACCACCCACAGGTTGATATTTGCTAGAAGGGCTCATAGAACTCACTGAAAGCTGTTTACTGATGGTTTTGGTTTATTACAGTGAAAAGACATAGATTAAAATCAGCCAAGGGAAAAGATGCATGGGGCAGGGCCCAGGAAAGTTCCAGTCGTGGAGCTGCCAGTTGTCTTCTTGCAGTGGAGTCATGGACACCACCGATTTTCCTGGTAACGATGTGAGACAGTGTGCACGGAGTCATTCAGCCAAGGATTCTTATCCAAGCCTTGATGTCCAGAGTTTTTATTGAGGCTCTGTCACGTGGATGTAGTCGACTGCCCCAGTGGCTGACCTCCATCTCCAGTCCCTCTGGAGGTCGAGCTGATGCCCTCACTGTAAATCGCATTGTTAGAGTCTCTGGTGAGCCAAGGCCCAAAGTAAACAAAGACACTGTTATCAGGGAGGACATCTGAGGAGCTTCAGGGTCACCTCCAGGAGCTGAGTGCAAAGGCCAGACCTCTCTTCAGTCAAGATTAAATTCTTTACTGCACAGTAACGTAACATTAGCATTCTGTACTCTTCCTTTGTGTGCATTTGCTTGGTATAGTATGCATCATATTCTTTTTAACCTTCAGAAATTTTGATTTGGGATCTCTCTCATAAGCAACATGTGGTAGGTAGTATTTTTATTTTTTTATACCTTTCTGAGTCTTTGCCTTTTAACAGAAGAATTTAAGCCATGTGCATTTATCGTAACTGAAATTATTGTCCTTTTGTTTTGTTGTTCTATTATTATTTTCTATTTTTCATTCTTCCCTCTGTGCTATGTAGACAGTATTGTCTGCAGATTTGGGAGAAATGTTTTTAAATACTATTATAGGTTGTCTGTTGACTCTTGTTGTGTATGACAGCAGTTTAGCAGTTCTTTATTTCTCGTAGTCTATCCTTTTTTCTTATCTTAATTTGATCTGAAGTTATAGACCCAGTTTCTTATTTTACCTTTTTTTCGCCCATTTTGTTATTCTGTTTCTGCATTTATTTTTCTCTTTTGGCATTAATTTTATAACATTTTCACCACAGTTATTTAAAATTTACCATATATACACATACATTTAACTTGCTTTAATGTTTATTGCCAGTCATTTCTGCCTTTGAATTTTTTATTTTGAACTGTGGGCTGTATCTTTTGGATTCTTTCATGTCTGGTAATGACTCCTGCTTTCATGCACCAAACACTGCTTGGCTGTAAGAGAATTATTTTCTGAAAACATTGATCCAGTGTCTTTTAGTGTCACAGAGAAGAAATCCTGAGCCACCGTAATTCTTTATTACTTATAGATGAATTGTTTGTTTTTCTCTCTACCTAAATGCTTAAAAGATATAACACCTTTTCAGGGAGCAGAACTATAGTCCTGAAGATAGTTATGACAGATACTATGAATTTTTTGATTGAAATCTGGATATTTGATATCCGCATTTTATTAGAGAGTCAAATAAATAATTTCAGTGAAACAATAGGCAGTCTTTCTATAACTCTGATTTCTCTTTGAACACAACTTATCTTTTTATTGATGTCATAATAGCTTATAACACTGTGAAACTTCAGTTGTACATTATTATTTGTCAGTCATCATATATATGTCCCTCTTTACCCCTTGTGCCCACCCCCCAACCCCCTTCCCCTCTGGTAACCACTAATCTGTTCTCTTTGTCCATGAGTTAGTTTATCTTCCACATATGAGTGAAGTCTTACGGTATTGTATTTCTCTGTCTGGCTTATTTCGCTTAACGTACTACGCTCAAGGTCCATCCATGTCGTTGTGAGTGGGACGATTTTATCTTTTTTATGGCTGAGTAGTATTCCATTGTATGTATATACCACATCTTCTTTATCCAATCATCAGTCGATGGGTACTTGGGTTGCTTCCATGTCTTGGCTAGTGTGAATAATGCTGCAATGAACATAGGGGTGCATGGGATTGTTGGAATTGCTGATTTCAAGTTCTTTGGATAGATACCCAGTAGTGGGATGGCTGGGTCGTATGGTATTTCTATTTTTAATTTTTTTTTTTTTTAGGAAGATTAGCCCTGAGCTAACATCTGCTGCCAATGCTCCTCTTTTTGCTGAGGACAACTGGCCCTGAGCTAACATCTATACCCATCTTCCTCTATTTTATATGTGGGACGCCTACCACAGCATAGCTTGACAAGCGGTGTGTAGGTCCGCGCCCAGGATCCGAACTGGTGAATCTGGGGCTGCCGGAGCGGAACATACGAACTTAACTCCTATACCACTGGGCTGGCCCCCTGGCCCCTCTGTTTTTATTTTTTGAGAAATCTGCATACTGTTTCCCATAGTGGCTGCACCAGTTTGCATTCCCACCAGCAGTGTGTTCCGTTTTCTCCACACCCTCTCCAACATTTGTTATTTTGGGGGTTAGTGATATAGGCATTTTAATGGGTTTAAGGTGATATCTTAGGGTAGTTTTTTGTTTTTTTTTGAGGAAGATTAGCTCTGAGCTAACATCTGCCACTAATCCTGCTCTTTTTGCTGAGGAAGACTAGCCCTGAGCTAACATCTGTGCCCATCTTCCTCTACTTTATATGTGGGATGCTTACCACAGCATGGCTTGACAAGCAGTGCCATGTCTGCACCCAGGATCCGAACCAGCAAACCCCAGGCCACCAAAGCAGAACATGCGAACTTAACCGCTGTACCACTGGGCCGGCCCCATGAGGGTGGTTTTGATTTGCATTTCTCTGATGATTAGTGATGTTGAACATCTTTTCATGTACCTATTGGCCATCTATATATCTTCTTTGGAGAAATGTCTGTTCATATCCTCTGCCCATTTTTTGATCGGGTTGTTTGGTTTTTTGTTGTTGAGTTGTATGAGTTCTTTTTATTTTATGGAAATTAACCCCTTGTGGGATATATGATTTGCAAATATTTTCTCCCAGTTGGTGGGTTGTCTTTTCGTTTTGATTCTGGTTTCCTTTGCCTTGTAGAAGCTCTTTAGTCTGATGAAGTCTTACTTGTTTATTTTTTCTTTTGTTTCTCTTGTCCGAGTAGCCATAGTATTCGAAAAGATCCTTTTAAGACTGATGTCAAAGAGTGTACCGTCTATATTTTCTTCTAGGAGTTTTATGGTTTCAGGTCTTACCTTCAAGTCTTTGATCCATTTTGAGTTTATTTTTGTGTGTGGCAAAGATAATGGTCTACTTTCATTCTTTTGCATGTGGCTGTCCAGTTTCCCCAACACCGTTTATTGAAGAGATTTTCCTTTCTCCATTGTACGTTCTTGGCTCCTTTGTTGAAGATTAGCTGCCTGTAGATGTGTGGTTTATTTCTGGACTTTCAATTTGAACAGAATTTCTTTAATATATGCTTTTTTGTTTCCCAAATATAAATTTATGGTGTTCAACTGCTTCACATACTTAAGTTTTAATAGATTAGAAATAGCAGCAAACCAGTGATCGTGTACCAAGTTGCTTATTGTTATACTATTTAGAATTGTTTTCAGAGAAAATAAAAGGTCAAGTGAACCAGACATTGGGTTGTTTGGTTTAATTTTCTGGAAAATGGGATTGCCTTTATCAGACCCCAGTGTCTCTCGGCCCTCATGCTTGGCTGGCAGCTCATGAGTGGCTCTGCTGCGGTAGAGATGGGCGGCAGGAAGCTGCTTTGTCAGCAGAAACGGACTGTAAAGTGAGCTGGGGGGAGCCAGGCTCACCTCATCTTGACTTGCTGATCAGTGATTGGTTTTGTTAGGAACAGAATATGTGGTTGCGTGACTTCCGTTAACGCTAATTTTGACTTAGAAAGTAGTATTCTAGGCAGGGCGACTATAAGATGTGGTGTCTTACTATCCTGGACAAACCATATGCAGTTCCCGCTTCATAAAGCGCAGCCCGTGCTGAGTGTTCTTTTGCAACCAGGATTGTCGGCAGCACAGCAGCATTTAACCACGTCGTGTGAGCACATTCGCTTGTATGGAACATAGAAGTGTTTCCAGTTTCACTTTGTAACATTTGGATATGTTTATCTCCTTCCCTTAAAGATAGAGAAGTTCTTTTCCATTCAAGTTAAGTTTAGGCTTTGATATGTGGAAACATTTTATGTCACCATTATCACATAATCCAAATTTGAAATATTAAAGAAATAACTTTCTTTTCACTTCTGAATCAACTAAGACAATTAAAAATATAGTGGCTGATTTTTTTCCCCAAAATATATTTCTTTTTCTTTCTACAAATGTGTTTCTTCAACAGAGAAGCAGTCTATTTATTTTAGAATTTCAAACAAAATTTGAAGTTTCTTTACAAAAAAAAGTACAAAAAAGGACGAGATCAGGATTAGAAACTAATTAAAAGAAGCAGAGAGATAGATGTTCTCATGCATTAAGAATATGTTCATGGTGCATTTGATCACTGAATTTGAGCCAGAATTTTCTAACCAATGAATTAAGGGAAACAAATTGAATTATAATTGATTAAAGAAACACACATCTTTTTTTTGCCTAGACAGACTGCCCCCTACTACCCCCCATAAATCTGCCCCCATGACTGGTGGCTTGAGGCAGAACCTGTAAGTTCCCTTTAAGAACAAGTTTGACCTTCTGTTTGAATGTTAGAGAATAGCTAATGTGTAAGAGTGATGCTCACTTCTGTGTACTGGCTGTGCAGCCCGTGGAGTTACACATCCTGCATTTGAGTTTTGGCTAGAGCAAGGTATGTGAAAGAATAAAATCATGGGTGTTTTTACAGCTATTATTTTGGAAAGAGATGTCTTTTATTTGCAGTCGAATGTAGTTCCCAACTGGCATTATAAGTCTATTATTCTCATTTTACAGATGTGAAAACAGAGGCTTGGGCAGTTGAAGGCGCCTGCCTATGCACTATGGGTGGAGTGGGGTGAGGTTTTGTTCTGGGATCAGACTGCCTGGATTAAAATCTGGGCTTTGGCTTTATGACCATTGTCAGTTTATTTAGTTTCACTGAGCCGTGGTTTTCCCATCTATGAGCTAGAATCCATTGGCTTCTCACAAGATGAGCAATATGTGTTAGAAACCTACCCTAGCGCCTAGCTTATGGTCACAGCTTAATTCATGTTTGCCTTGCTGTCTTTATTATGTCATCATTTGGAATTTGAAATTGTATTTGGCCATTTTGTTTTGGAAATTTTCATAGTGCTTCACCTAAGTGAGCCTGATGTGCTGTTTAAAACCTCCTCTCTTCAGTAGGTAAGACAGTTTTATATATAAATCATTAAGTGATTTCCTAGTAATCTTTATCAAACCACGCAGCCATATATTTAAAATAGCAAAAAACTCCAATATAATTTGTACATCCACAGTTGGTATTACCAGGTATTTCTTGGGAACTTACAGGGAAATAATTATAGAATGACTAGAATGTGAATGATGTGTATTTTGCCATGTTATAGCCCAAGGCTAAAATTAAATGTTTGGAGGTTGATTTCTATTTTACAGATGGTGAAACAGAGAAATAAGCATGACTTTCCTGTGGCCAGATATCAAAGATATTAGTTACTTGTCTCACTTTTCTTCTTTAATTCAACTGTTTTTGCCACTCAGCTTTGATGATCAGATGATTAAGTACGTGTGTTACATACTAATTTTTTAAAATTTTTGTAAGGAAGATTCACCCTGAGCTAACATCCATTGCCAATCTTCTTCTTTTTTTTTTGCTTGAGGAAGATTAGCCCTGAGCTAACATCTGTCCCAGTCTTCCTCTACTTTGTATTTGGGATGCCTCCACAGCATGGCTGACGAGTGGTGTAGTTCCACATCCAGGATCCAAATCCACGAACCTGGGCCGCCAATGCGGAGCACGTGAAACTTTAACTGCTTGGCTGTGGGGCCAGCCCGCTGCGTACTATTGTAATAGTGTTAAACTGTGAATAACTTAAACTGGTGCCTGCTGGTTACTTTGCAGAGTTTGTGCAGAGTTTTTCCATGTTTGTGCTTCTTTCCAGCAGGGAAAATAATGACCATTTTTTAAAGCTGCTGAATGGGGATGGCCCCGTGGCCGAGTAGTTAAGTTCATGCACTCCACTTTGGCAGCCTGGGGTTTGCCTGTTTGGATCCTGGGCGCAGACCTACTCACTGCTCATCAAGGCATGCTGTGGCAGCATCACACATGAAAGAACTAGAATGAACTACAACTAGGATATACAACTATGCACTGGGGCTTTGGGGAGAAGGAAAAAACCCAGCTGCTTAAAAGTGTCATTTTGATATAATGTATTCTAACCCATTGAAATGGCCTATATCTTAACTATATGTTTTTTTCTAGCCATCCATCAAAAACTCGAAGCCGACGGAACAGAAAAAGTAGAAGGATCCATGACACAAAAACTAGAGAATGTTCTGAACAGTAAGTTTCGTCCTCCTACCCAAAACTGTTTATGGACTTTATAACAAGCTTTAATATAGTTCTTGCACCTGATTTCACAGAACAAGGCAGTAAGTTGCATTTTAGTATTTATTTCTAAATAGTAATGATTTAATGAACATAAAGGGGAATAAAAACGTTGAAAATAAATGTTCTCTTTCTGTTTGCATTTTATTTATGAGAAATCATAATTTGAAAATGAGCCAATATATTTCTTAAGAAGTAAAATTTGCTACCATAAAAGAGATCAGTGTACAAATAGCATCGTCAAAGAGAGAGAAGCGTGGAGGCGGGAGCCAGGATTGTCATTGCCCGAGATCCTGAAGAGGCGTCCTCAACTGTTTGCTAGTGTCAAGGCAAATAACATCAGCTACCAGAATGGCAGATATTTAGGTGTCATTTGTTTATTTATACCTCCCTTCTTCCAAAAACCTTTTAAGGCAACTGCATATTTAAGAGTGTTTCTAACTCTGAGAAATTTTGTAAAATTTGTAGGCAGAGAGAAACTGATATATGCAAAGTTTTGCGTCCTGCCTGTCTCCCCAAATATCTTTTTCCTAATATCCTAGCTCCCGGCTACTTATCCTACTGATTTGGAAGAAACTTATCAGATGAATCAATCCCTATTATAGTATTACTGGTTTAAAAATAAGTTATCCTCTTTTATGCAGACGATAAACATTTGACATGGAACAGTAATGCCCAGGAGAACTCCTTGTTTTTAAATATAAGTATAGCATGATTTCCCCACCAAGTAGGCTTAAGAATAACTGAACAGTCCGGAACCCTCACGCAGATCTTTAGTGATGCTATGAAGGCAGGACTGTGATATCAAGTGAGTTTTAGACTTGTAGCTTACTTTAGTCCTGTAAGCAGAACTTCCTGAGCCGTTTTGTAAATATCTGTTCCTTAACCTAGGGATCTCTGATAAGAAAGTATTTTTTAGAAAGAAGCTTTAATGTGATATAGGCTTTCCTTGGTAGTAGAATTTGTGTTCTTGAATTTCATCCTAAATTTATGAGTTTAATAGCAAAATATTTTCCCCTCTGGTTATTATTATTTTGCCTTGAGATTTTGCCTTGTTTTTGTCCGACAACCAAGTCACCAGCTTTGTTGAAATGAATATATTCTGAATTCAACCCAAATAAATACTTACTGAAGCTATTTCTATATTAGCATAGTCAGACATTTTAAAGTCTTGGAAGGATATTTTCTACTCAGGGATGTTATTTTCACTGGATAAATTGTCATCAAACCATGATATCTGTTTAAAAAAATGAGATTATTTCTGTAACTTTTGAAAGGTGACTTGTAAGAACAAGCTGACGTAATAAGTATATTATTGTATCAGTAAAAAAAAATAGATATTTGTTAAGCTTTGGAAAAAATTAAGGTCCATTTCATGTGTTAAGCTTAGCATCATGTATTATAACTTTTAAATTAAGGTCCATTTCATGTGTTAAGCTTAGCATCATGTATTATAACTTTTTTCTCTTAAGGGAGTACTATAGGAAATCCTCCTTTGGGACTTGTGGTATAAAAATTGTAAGGGAAATTATTTTGCTTCTCTTCCTTTATAACCACGGACTTCCTGGAAATGTGTCGTATTAACATTCTACTGAAGTTTGCGCTTTTTGGATAAAGTTGGGCTTAACATACGTGGTCACTTCTTCAGGAGACTCTCCTTCAGGATTTTCTGCTGTAAAAATTTCCCTTAAAATATATTCCTTTATAACATTCCCGTCTTTTCTAGAAATATTTTTGGTCAGCTTGATGTTTATTGTCTTGGAGTAAAGTTTTGCTAATTTGGTCAACTTGACCAGCATTTATTTAAGACTGGTTGTGTAGAAGCACTGTGCTCAGTCCAGTGTGGGGTACAAAGCTGGAAGAAATATGGCTCCCGCCCCGTGAGCGTGTCCTCTGTCCAGACCAGTGTGTCGATTACCCGAGACTCCAGAAGCTGTGGAACTGGGACATCAGAAAAAATAATTACTGAAGTATTATGAAAAATTTAATTTCTTTTCTTTTGTAAATAAAGGAAGGAATAGGTGAGTATGAATATAGTTTAGTTTGCTTAGATTATTATTAATGTTTTAATCTTATGGATAATTACGTACTAATTTATATGCCTTTTTCTTGCATTATTTTAAATAAGAGTTTATGTTGACTTTAAGAGACTTAGTCTGTTTTATTCAGAATTTATCAGTGTTGAAGCCTTTCATTGAAATTCTTTCTTGTTTTCACTGACATATGTTTCTTATATTTGCCTTTGAACTTAATTCCTCCCTGATTTCAAGCCAATGATGACTAATAATTCATATCAAATTCACTTATCCATTTTTATCTTCTTCCCTATTCCAAGAGTATGGAATAATACTGTCTGATAAACTTCTGTGGTGGTGGAAGTGTAGCTTTTGAGCACTTAACATGTGGCTGGTGTTGCTGAGGAATTGACTTCTTAATTGTTACTAACTTTAACTAATTAACTTTAAATTGCAATGGCCCCTGTGGCTCGTAGCTAGTGTGTTGGACAGTGCAGGTATAGACAGTCTAGTAGGGGTATTTATAGCAGCAGTGGTGGGAGTCAGAGCTGAAACTCTTGCCTGCTCACTAAGGGTCAGGTATTACTCTAAATATCCTGTACATAGTTAGTCCTCACAATGACCCAGTGAGGTTTGTTCTGTTATCTCCATTTTATTGATGAAAAAACTGAAGCCCAGGGGGCCAGCCTGGTAGCGTAGCATTTAAGTTCATGTGCTTTGCTTCAGCAGCTGGAGGTTCACCAGTTCGGATCCCAGGCACAGACCTGCAGACCACTCATCAAGCCATGCTGTGGCAGGCGTCTCACATATAAAATAGAGGAGGATGGGCATGGATGTTAGCTTAGGGCCAGTCTTCCTCAGCAAGAAGAGGAGGATTGGCACTGGATGTTAGTTCAGGGCTAATCTTCCTCGAAAAACAAAAACAAAAACAAAACACCCCTGAAGCCCAGAAAGATTAAATGAGTTACCTAAAGTCACATGAGTAGTAAGTGGCAAAATTGGGATTTATATCTAGAAATCTGGCTCCAAATTTGTGCTTTAGACTACAGACATGCCTTGCCACGCAAGGTTTTGATATGCGTGAATTTCAGTTACCACAGGGCAGTTAAATACACTAACCCCAACAACACAGTTCAGATTTCAGTTGCCAGGGTATGTTCACCATGACTGCATAAAGTACAAACTTGGCTACTAGCTCTTCAGCCCTCAGATCACTTCATGAGTAACAGATGCACAAGATGGGCATGACCAACTACATCTCTTCCTTCAGAGTTTGTTGGTGACTGATCGTTGCACACCTGTTATCAGTTCATGCACAGACAGCAAAGCATGTAGTTGTATGGCCTCCTAACTGACATGGCACTTGACAGAAGTGGATAATCAAAGGAGAGGATGGATCTACAAGGATGAAAGTGCATCAGAAAACAAAAAGTGATAGGAGTGTAAGTGAAATTCAGACCTAACATGATGGAGTCATAGAAGAAGTAGCTGACGGTGGGGATGTGGGCATTTTTTAATATTTCAACAAAAATTTTTAAAAATCACAGAACAGCTATAATTTTCCCATCAGTTAAGATTGTGTGCTCGGTTTCAGTTTGCATGGTCATTTGTGTGGTTCTGCGCACCGTGCAAAGTGAGGCTTGTAATGTACTCTAACGCCTCTCTAAGTAGAAAGGATACTGGGCACTGACTCAGAGGCTGATTTTTAGTCCTTGTTCTGTAAGCATTTACTGAGCACATGTTAGTTCTGTCCCAGGGATGTGAAGATAAAACTTGCGCTTTACTTCTAAGAGTTTATAATCTAATGGCAAATACAGATAAATAAGCAGGTGATTAAATTGTGGTGTGATAATACTCTGCTGGCAGTAATCCTCAGGTGCATCTGGAGCCCACACAAGGAGCACCTAATCAAAAGGTGGAGTGGAGAGAATAGAAGGCGAGGGTCGTGAGAGCCTCAAAAGGGGAGGAGTAGGAAGGAGCCAGGCAGGCAGAGGTTGGCGGGAGGGCAGCTGAGTGGATGGAGGTGTGTGCCGGGCAGGGCACACAGCATGAGGAGGAAGGCACCGACTCCAGAGTGGAGTGGGCTGCAGTCCAGGGACAGGATCCCGTATGGCGAGTGTGCAGAAGTGAGGGGTGAGGCTGCGAGGTAGATGGGGGTCTGCTCATGACAAGCTTTCTATGTAGTATTGTGGAATTTGGCTTCATCCTGAGAACTATTGGTGAGACATTGAAGGATTTTAAATAAAGGAGTGATACTATGAACTTTTTAAAGAACATTCTGCCATCTGTATAGGGAATGGATTAGAAGGGAGCTAGACTAGAGACAAGAGAAACTAGATAGAAGAGTACAGTTGTAATGTAAGAGTGAAGGGCTGAGGACTTTTAACCAAAACAGAGGTGATGAAGGTAGGATGGTGGCAGATGAGAAATGTTAAGGAGATGAAAAAGGCAGTATTTGGTCACTGGTTTGTTGTGGGAACTAAGAAAAAGGAAGTAGTCAATGATGACTTCCAGATTTCTGGCCTCAAATGGAAGAAGGAGGAGCAGGTTTGGGACGTAAGGAGAGGAATAGAGAGGAAAAAGTTCAGTTTAATTTATAGATAACATGTTGAGGTTGAGATTCCCGAGGGTTGTACCCATGAATACCTTTCTAGCTGTCACTACTTCCTAGTTGTGTCACATTAAGCAAGTTGAATATCCTCACTGTGTTTCAGTTGCCTGCACTATAAAATGGGGATAAAAATAGCCCTGTCTGATGGAGACATAAACAAGCTTAAATGAATTAAGAATTAATACATGCTTTTAGAATAATTAAGAATTTAGAAGAATTAATATAAAGTTTTGGAATAGCACCTAGCATCGAGTATGTACTCGATACTATATGTCTGGTATGTCTCTTTGCCACCCACAAAGGCTTCCCTAAACTCATCTTTTTTGGTGAGGAAGATTGGCCCTGAGCTAACATCTCTACCAGTCTTCTCTATTTTGTATGTGGGATGCTGCCACAGCATGGCTTGATGAGTGGTGTGGGTCCACACCTGGGATTCAAACCTGCAAACCCCAGGCCGCTGAAGCGAAGTTCGTGAAGTTAACCACTATGTCACTGGGCCAGCCCCAGCCAAAATTCTAAGTCATGAGGGACTCGTAGATGCCAAAATGTTTTTTGTTCCTTCATGGCGTCTTTATTCTTCATTCTGCTTCCCTGACTCTTCCCAAAGGCAGATGAGCTGAGGATTTGAGAGTTGATTGTTTCCCCAGGGATCTTCTCTCCACTGTCCTTCAGGATGAAGCCTGACCAACCATCTGTCTAGACTTGAGGTCCTGTTCCGAGGGCCCAAGACTCCAAAAGCTGACGTTTGCCCTCAGCTCAGCTGTCAGGGTTCATTCAAAGGGAAATCCTCAGGGACTAAGTTGGTCCCATAGGATGATGCTGGGATATCATGAAAAGTGCTCTCATCGGATCCCTTTAGTAAAACAGTGAGGGCTGATTGAATGTTCTCCCCCAAGAAAACAGGAATTTAGGATGACTCAGAATAAAAGACTTCTTTGTGATGGGTGAATTCATAAAAAAACGTTATTGTATGTCTGGTGAAAATATATGTCAAGACTAGTCCTAAGCTCACAGACACATCTTGAGATACAGATTTGGGAGTCAGCAGCATAGAGATGGTAGTTGAAGTAACAGAACTGAATGATTTCACCCAACTACTGTGTCAAATAAAAAAGAAGAAAGCCAAGGGCTTCAAACACTAAGGAATCTCAGTAAGAGTCACGTTTTTGAAAAAGAAACTGACTTTTACTCAGTGGTATGCTGGTAAATGTTTAACCAACTGGTTTTCCAAAAAAACAAAAAGAAAACTAATCCTAACATTAGCATTTCCAGTGTGTAAATTCTCCCATCGTGGTTGATTTCAAGCTACCAACTTGACATTACTGAGCTGAAGGTGAGAAGAGATGGGAACAATCGGCTCTTGCAAGCGGTGTGAGCCGACTGCCGCTCTTCTCTCACCCCAGATGCTGTTCTGTGTCCTGTATGTGGCGCTCTGGAATTCCAGGGTCAGGCATGGCTCTGCAAACAAGCGTTAACTGTTGGTAATGCACTATTGATGCAGTGTCCTTATGTTATAGATGGCAGCCTAGCTAGGAATTTTCTGGAATCTGTTAAGAGAAACAGACAGATATAGCAGGTTGTTAGGTCTTTTGTGGTCCTGGTTTGAATCTGAATTTAAGTATACATTTTAAAGTTACCTTAAATTTCCAGGTACTTTAATGTTTCCTTTCCTAATCCACCATTCAACCTGCCTATTCCTAAAATAAATTAGGTTGTGATGTATGTGTGGCAGGGCTCCACTCCTTCCACCCCTACCCCCCATCCCCTATCCTCACATCAAGCCGAGAGCACAGGTTAAAAATCACTTCTGTGATGGACTGTCTCAAGTGTCAGTGCCATGAAAAGAACCAATAAGGTCACTTTGAAATAAGAGAAAGCATAATATTTACTTTGAATAAAATGCTTGAAATCATGCCAGCATTAAAATTATGTGACTAGTTTTTCTAGATGATGGAAGTTCCTGGCACAATTAAAATTTCTATTGTTGTTAAGGATATAAGATCAGTGGGCAGGCATGAGTTTGGTTTGTCGTTGTGCAGGGCTACAGGACCTTTTCTCACCATCTTTTTTTCCAGCTTTATTGAGATGTAACTGACATGTAACATTAAGTTTAAGGTGTACAACGTGTTGGTTTGTTACAGTTAAATACTGCAGTGTGATTGCCATCGTAGCATTAGCTAATACCTCCGTCACATCACGTAATTTCTTTGTTGTGTGTGTGGTGAGAACATTTGAGATTTACTCTCTTAGCGACTTTCAAATATCTAATACAGTATGGTTGACTGTCGTCACCATGCTGTGTATTAGAGCCCCAGAATTTGCTCATCTTCTTATTGGAAGTTTGTCCCTTTGACCATCATCTCCCATCTTCCCACCCGCAGCCCCTGTAACCAGCATTCTACTCTACCTTTCAGTTCCGCTTTTTTAGATTCCATATATAAGTGAGACCATGCAGTATTTGCCTTTCTCTGCTGACTTATTTCACTTAGCATAATGCCCTCAAGGTCCATCCGTGTCCCATCGTAGACCGAGGAAAATTTTATTGCTCTGTCGGCCCAGCTACACTGGCGGAGCCAACATCATTGCAGCTGCATTACTGTCAGTGCTCGGGGTGCATCTTTAACTGAGACGATGGCAGTCACTGTCCCGTCAGCTGACGCTGAGACAGTCTCCTGGTGAGAGGAAAGGACCAAGTTTCAGATTGAGGTTGCCCAGGGCTGGTAGATGAAGGTCAGGATTTGTTCTGCAACCAAAGTCATGGTTTTCGCGATCACGTGGTCCAGTTAGTGTTGTTCTCTGGTTACACACTAGATGTTCAGACCCAGGCCCGAGGCTTTCAGGTGATGTTCTCAGTGTGAGAAGCTGGAGGGAGGGTGTGGATGGATCGGTGCCCGGGAAGGATTGTTACTGGGAGACTTGGCTGATGGCTCATTTGTGACTTCACATCGAATGTGAACACCCCTGAGGAGTTGTTTCATTTTCTTGTTAATGGCCCTAGAGCATAAAGACATTTTGTGAGCTGCTGCTGATTTTCATCTGCCTGCATAAATCTTGGTTTCACTGCTTTCATTTATTTTGTTACTGGATATAATCATCCAGTTATCAAAGAGTTATGAATTTTATTGTAAATGCAGTAAAATTCACAACAGAATAATAATTGATACAAATTGTCTATAAATTAAAATAATAATTTCATAATTTATAATTTTTCTATGTGCAAAAATTAAAATTCTCCATGTGTACATACATTTCTGTATAGATTATAATTTTGGAGTTTATAACGTCTGCCTATGGATTTTCTATCTGTACTTGTTTTCATACTATGTAGAGCAGTTAAAATTATTGATATTTTTTTATTACCTTCAAAATAAGATGAGAAAAATCTAATTGTGAACTTTTTATACTTTTTGCCAGCGATTCCTTCACTGTACAAAAAAAAAAGTGCTTGGGGATTTAATATCCACAGCTCATACAGAAGTAATCAACCTTTTAAAAATATTCAATCCCATTTATGTATTTATTCATTGATGAAGCCTCAATTTATGAAATTTATATTTTTAAATGATAAATAATTTTCTTTGAAGAAAAAGTTTTAACTCTCATCAGACTTCAAATATTTATTTAGCCACCATTGTGTGGTTTAGTGGCGAGAAAGGAATGTATTTTTTCTTGTCTTAGAGTAGAAATTTAGTATTCCACATTAAATAGCATGTGGTGAAAACAGCTATCTTGACAAAATAAAGTTTTTATATCAGGCCTTTAAAATTTCAACAGAATTTAAACATTATTTAGATAAAACAATTATGTTACAAAGACGACTTTTAGCACAATCAGGCCAGGCCACCCACGGTGTGGCCCAGAGAACTCGGCCTGGCCTGCGCGCCACCCAGTGAGACTGAGGTCATTTCTTCATCTTTGCTTCAAGTGCAGTCACTAGACCAGATAATGCGGAAACTTTTTATGAGCGACGATGAAACAGTGGAAAACAGTTTATCCTTTTTTTCCCTTTCCTGGTTACTAATTAAAAATAATTCACAATTGAAAAAGTTTAACTATTTTTGTACATAGTAAATTTTGCTTTAGATAAAGCAGCTCTTCATAACTGTGATTCATATAGTTTGAGGTCTTTTAGGTAAAAAAAAAAAATATATATATATATATATATATATATAAAGAATGTCCAGTTTGTGTATAATTTTGTAAGAATTAGCTGATTTAAGAAATACTAATTAATGATATGTTAAAGTTTGTCATTTTAAAATGTTTATGTAACTTTTTCTGCCTGCTACATAAAGAGAGAGTTTTACCAAGAAATAGGCTTAGTTCTAAAATATTCCTTTGGAGCAACTTTTCTAAAAATGTTTTTCTTATTTTGTTTATTACCACATATATAGATATTGAATCCAGGGAATTTAACTAGTGGGTATGTGTGTATGCATATATGTGTGTGTGTTTTAACCTATTACCTGAATTAGTGAAATAACCTTAGGACCCAGAATTGTCATAAAAGTTAGAAGAGTGGCTAAAATAAATGTAGGTTCACATTAGAGAATTTATTTGGGCCTGGTGGATATGGTTATATTTAATTGGATACCATTCTTAACATATGAAAAGACTTAGGAAGCAAAATGGAAATTGTATTTAGCAAAAACCATAAAAGATCTCCAATATAGTTAAGTTTTAAAAAAGTCTATTGAGTTGTAACGTAAAGCTACAATAGCAATCTAACATTTTGTTTCTTTTGCCCAGTTACGTGTTTTCTGATTAAAATCAGTTTTTATCTATGTTCTTTTTGTTCTTTTAAAATAGGAGCAAGTAATACTGCGGACACGTTATTTCAGGAAGTGTTAGGTCGAAAGGACAAGGCAGATTCCACTAGAAATGCGCTCAATGTGCTTCAGCGATTCAAGTTTCTGTTCAACCTGCCTCTCAACATTGAGAGGAATATTCAGAAGGTAGAGTGCCTATTTATGTACCTGTGCTTATAGACGTCATACATTTTAAAGAGTTGTTAAGATGGTTTTTATCTTAACCGAGTGTCTTCATTATACTTTACTGACAGTCTCCAAAATGTTTTTTTATTTTAAAGGGTGATTATGATGTGGTTATTAATGATTATGAAAAGGCCAAGTCACTCTTTGGGAAAACGGAGGTGCAAGTTTTCAAGAAATGTAAGATTTGTTTATTGCTTTTAGATCTTCTACTTTCCTTTTACAGGAAGAATGTGGAATGTATTCAGCAAAGAATGTTACTTGAGTTTTAGTTTTTGTTTATGTGGTGCTTTTTAAAATGCAAACAGTTACTTCAAAAACAACCTTACGGCTTTTCTTGCTAAGATGCAGTGAACATGAGTGACTGCAAGTATAGGATCGTTTAGTCTTGGACATTCTTTGCCGCTCATTAACACATCATGCTATTTAAAAAATATTTTTTACTGGAAAGAATCAATTACAGATATTTTATAGAGATGGAGACCTACATTTTAATCTTCCCTCTTCAGAAAGACCAGTATATTTATGAATTCTAACCCTCCTTTAAAGTAAACTTAAACCACTTTGGAAACCATCTCTAATGCCAGAGTTACAGAAAATAAGAAAAGCCTAATATGCCCTATGATAATGCCTTATCAACTAGGAGAAATAGCACAGGGCTTATAGAATTTGAAAATGAAATCCGTAAGAGCTCAGAAAACTTTTTTTTATTTGATCACTCCAGGAAGTTCCCTTGTGCCTCTTCTCAGTCAGCCCCTGGACCGCCAAGGCAACTACTTTTCTGCTTTCCACAATGTGATTTTAAATTTCCATTTTGTAAATCTTATATATTCTTGCCTTTTTAAATAGATTATGCTGAAGTAGAAACACGGATTGAAGCTTTAAGACAATTACTTCTGGATAAATTGCTTGAGACGCCATCGACCTTACATGACCAAAAACGTTATATAAGGTAAACCTGCAAGAGGTTTTGACAATCATGTATATCTGTCTAGTACTGGGTACATCACCTAACTCTTAAAGCTAATTTGGGGGAAATTAGGAGATTGATGAAATGGTGAAAGAGAGGACAAAATAGCAGAAATTTAGAAGTATCTAGTGTAGGACCCACAAATTCTTTTGTGTACTAATGAATTTGGGAGTATTCACTCTCTAAGGGCAGTAAAATCCTGCCAATGTGGGGAAAGGAAAACTAGCCTCTTTGCTTGGTCACCAAGTCCTCCTGTTCCACAAGGGCTTCCCCAGCCTGGGGTTGGTGTGGGTGTTGCCCCTGTGGGCCCCCACCGGCTACAAGGTGGGGTGGCTCCCTGTGGGGTTTAGAGTACAACACACACACTGGTGGGAGATTCTTCGTGCCACAGAGTGGGCCACAGCTCAGCAGTAAAGTTCTGAAAGGTTTTAGTTTCAAAAAGAAAGTGGGAATACTTAGAAAAGACAGCCAGTAATATTAAAAGTGATGGACATCACAAGGTACGACAAGACGGTCTTAGAAGGAAGCAGTATGGCATAATGGGACTGGCTGCCCCTTTGGACGACTCTCTGGAGTTCTCAGTCTCCTCATCTGTGAGACGGGCGTGAGAACACAGTCTGTGTCTCAGGGTGATTGCAGAGACAGTCAGGAGGACGTTTAAGGTTGTAATACAGCTCCTGGCACACAATGAGTAGTCAATAAATTACATATATAAATCATATTTATACCAGGATTTGGAGACAAAGCATATACATTAGAAGCTATGATTTAAAAATCTTAACTTTATTTTCTCTGGGCATATTTTTGAATGATATTTATGCATTTGGCTGTCATTGCTATGTGACCATTGAAAATAATTTCCAGGCGTGGGAAGAGGTTCTGGCCTGAAAGCTGCTGTGTTTGCAGCTGTGGTGGGGACGAGGGCCCACACTCAGACCTGTATTCTGGCGATGCAGGAGCACAGTCAGTGAATGTCAGTGTCAGCACGCTGAATGTCAGCACGTTCGTGTTGGAAGAGGAAGGGGAGAGGAGGCTGGACCAGTGGAGTGGAGAGCACTAAGACTGATGGCTGCCGCTCCCGAGGTCTGCAGTACACCCACGTGCAGTGCTGGATGCGCTGTGTACGTAGTTTCCAATCCTTGCAGCTGCCGTGGGGGACAGTGTGCAACACCCATTATTACGAGTCAGGAACCTGAGTCTCAGACTTCATTGCTTGGTCAGCACACACAGTAGGACTCCTCTTTGTCTGGTTTTAAAGCCGATCTTTGCTTTTCTCTAGTCTGCCTCCATAGGAAAGAATGTATTTGGGGAATTTTTCTGGCTTTGTAGAATTGTAGAAGTTTAAAGCTGGAAATGAACGTGTCAGTTATCCAAGTGCTTTTTTTGAGCATGTAAAGCAGCAGTTCTGGGAAGGTTATCGTCTCTTCCAGGATACACAGCTGGTTAGTGTCTGTGGCCCGCTGTGCTGCCTCACTAACTGCTTTGTATTCCCCTGTTGACGTTTTATTCTATTAAATCTGCAGCGGTACTATTTTAAACCATATTGAGCATATGATTTCTTTATGTAGCAAATTGCCCCTTATTTAGATAACTAACGTGCAGTTCTTATAACTAGTTAACCTCTTGGATATCATTTAAAAGATGGTAGGTGTTAAAAAAGATTCTTTTTTTTTTTTTAAAGATTGACACCTGAGCTAACATCTGTTGACAGTCTTCTTCTTCTCCCCAAAGCCCCCCAGTACATAATTGTCCAGTCTAGTTGTCGATCCTTATGGCTCTGCTGTGTGGGACGCCACCTCAGCATGGCCTGATGAGTGGTGCCATGTCCGTGCCCAGGATCTGAACCGGCGAAACCGTGGGCCGCAGAAGTGGAGCATACAAACTTAACCATTCGGCCACAGGGCTGGTCCCCAAAGATTCTTTTAAATGACCTATTAAGTGCCTTTTTTTGTCATTTTAAGGGGGAAAGAACAGGAATGTCAAGTAGTTTACTTAGTTTTTTTTCTGAGGAAGATCAGCCCTGAGATAACATCTGCTGCCAATCCTCCTCTTTTTGCTGAGGAAGACTGGCCCTGAGCTAACATCTGTGCCCATCTTCCTCTGCTTTATACGTGGGACACCTGCCATAGCATGGCTTGCCAAGCGGTGCCATGTTCATACTTGGGATCCAAACGAGCAAACCCTGGGCCACCAAAGTGGAATGTGTGCACTTAACCGCTGCGCCACCGGGCCAGCCCCATTTACTTACTTTTTAATCACTTTTATTTTTGATGTTTTGAGAAGATACTGAGCAATTCTGTTATCCTGTTTAAATTGAGGTTTTTAGTTATTAATAAATAGGAAAAATGGCATCATAAGCAAAGTCTGTTGGACTTTGGGATCTCTGATGACAGGTGCTGTGAGCGCTGCGTGGGGGCGGGGCGGCTTTATCCTCAGCAGAAATGCATCTTCCTGCATTATGGAGTCCTCTTCCATAATCGGAGTTATGTATGGTCTGAGTGGAAACCGCATTACTACTGTATTGTCTTACTTTTGATCACTATTTTGTCTATTTACAGACTTTCTGATTATTTTCACTCTCCTTATTCTGCCTTGATGCTAGTAGCTTTAGCAAGAAGCAAAGTTTCATATACTTCTTTCATGTCACTGTGGTCCTGTCCTTGGTAATTGTTAAAAATTATGTCAGAATATGGCTAAAAACTTTAATTCTTAAATTTTAAAATATTGTACCTATGCTCATTACAACTAACATGCTTTACCTTTTTCCCTCTAAAAAAGCCTTTTTAAAAAGTTTCTTTCATGTGAAGTTTTAAAACAATTCACAATAACGTGTCATATTCTAAAGATCTTTGAAATTAAACTACTTAATTTTAAGCTACATACTAAAAGAAAAGAAGAAATTTTATTGGATTAAGTCATTTAACCAAGGAAAAGCCTAGCGCAGGTTATACTTTAGAACTGAAACTCTGTAGAATCTCTCAGAGAACAAATTTATCTTTCTTTATAAAACTCTTTTAATGTAATACCCATAAATAAGACGATAGAAAGATGATTATTATTACATTTTGTAAGCACCTAGTCAACATACTAAAGAGATGTATAATTTTAAAAGTTACTAAGGAAAAAAACTTATTGATTCTCTTCCAGTACTGCTCGAGAAAGAGCCCTTGTAATGGACATCTATGTTCCTGTTCAGTAGTTTAAAAGTTAAAAGGAAACAGCTTTCCTAAAGGAATATTCCATTATTTTACTACTAATAACCAATCTGAGGATGTTATATGAGTGAAAGTGTTAGGAGAAAGTGTTGCAGAAGTATTCAGAGGCAAAACAATCCTATGTAAGGAGAATGCTAAAACAAATTATCCCCAGCAAGAAAGAATAAAATCATGTTTTTGGAAAGAAATGACACAATGTACTATTTGTCATATTTATGTTCCAGACAATAAAAGAGGAAAGCCTAGTGTGAGAGGGAGAATCAGATTGGGTTTTGAAGGCTTTGAAATGAATTATGTATGTTCAGGCTAAATGTAATCTGTTAGGTTGTAGTTTTCTTCCTGGGAGGCTGTTAATTGATTTGTCGGTCTCAGCACAGACACAGCCTCTTCCCAGCCTGTGATGAACGTCGTTGGGAGGCGGAGCAGCGCCTGCTCGCTGCCCTCGGGGCTGTCGCTGGGGTGGCCTGTGCAGGGGGGCCGTGAAGTTTAAGGGGCCCTTTTGCGGGATGATCAGATGCCCAGCTCTCCTCAGAAGCCAGGCGGTCTGCATTAGCCTCTGAAGGTCAGGGTCAGGGTGCATAGTTCCTAAATGTGATGTCAGATTTCTTCTCCACATTTTAGTTATTGCTAACTTATTGCAACATGTTTCTCCTCTAATTAGCTGCTAATTTAGATGCTGTGAGTCAGGAAACACCAGGACTGGAGACACGTGGGAAAGAATCATCAGTGTGCCCCCGAATGATTAACATTTGACTAGAGGTCACAGCCTATAACCGTGTATTAAAATTTATCATCAAACAGAAGTCTCTAACCTCTAGAAAACACAGAGCTTATGGTTTAAGAATAATTTGAAGACAATAAATTCAGCTTTCAGAATTCATTTAATTGGATTTAACATGTTATATTTATGTATTTTATGAGAGCCTAGGGCTAAATCTTGAATATTTGGCAGAAGTTTTTCCAGTGAAATCTATTTCAGTTGTCTCTCTGGGTTTGGATAGTTTATCTACAAAGAAGACTTTAAAAACTAAGAAAAATGCCCATGCATACTGTATTTTCTAGAGAAGTATTTTCTCAAGCAGTCATGAATTAGAGTTTAGACTTCAGAGGTAAATGCTTGTCAGCAAATCTCTTCATGTAATAAAAGGGCCTTACATTTCGGTGGCCTGGCTGACTGTATAGAAAAGTGTCACACTGCCATCTAGTGGCCATGCTTCAGAACACAAAGGAATACAAAACCACTGGTCAAGCTCGCATCAGCTGTCCTCGCCGGCTCCAGCCTGTGTCCTGTGTAATGACTGAGGACTAAGTAGAAAGACTCTGTGAACTAAATGTAAAAGATAAGTTCTCACCAAGAAGACCGGATTGTTGTTAGTTGTCTTTGTCTTCTTGCTTATCTTTTTATAAAGTCCTAAGTTTTTAAAAATACAGTGTTGGGGCTGGCCCCTGGCCCAGTGGTTAAGTTCGCGCACTCCGCTTCGATGGCCCAGGGTTTCGCAGGTTTGGATCCTGGGCGTGGGCATGGCACCACTCGTCAGGCCACGTTGCAGTGGTGTCCCATGCGCCACAATTAGGAGGACGCACAACTAAAAATACACAACTATGTGCTGGGGGGATTTGGGGAGAAAAACAGGAAAAAAACACAGTGTTATTGTTTGTTATTGCATGAAAAGAAATTTGAATATATTTTATTTAGAACTAAATATTAAAGACTAATATTTACAAGAGCTTTACTAACTGATAAAATTTTAGGTTTTCTTAAAAAAGGTAATGATTTTAAAACTTCCTAGCTTTCCTTTTGTCCTCACTTATGGCTGTCTGGAGGAAGCCCCCCTGGTCAGCTGTGGCCTTGCCTTTTCAGGTACCTGTCTGACCTTCATGCCCCAGGGGACCCTGCATGGCAGTGCATCGGAGCACAGCACAGGTGGATCCTTCAGCTCATGCACAGCTGCAGAGAAGGCTACGTCCACGGCCTGCAAGGCAAGTGCATCTCTGTGTATTCTGCTGTTCCCTGTGGCTGCTAGGTGCTTGATGACTACGGGGGAGGGTTGGTCAATTTTCTTGATATCTGTACCTGTTTTTTTTTGTTTTTTTGGCCCCTGGTTAGGATTATACCTGAGTAACAGAACAGGGAATGGGGAAAACTCTTTTAATCTGCCTATTTTTATGACTGACTGGCAGTATTGACAAAGGTTTGGTTTAGGAAACAATAAACTTTTGTGGGAAGCAACATGGTGTTGGAGAAGTGATATTAGTCCTTGTTAAAGGGTAGTAGCCTAGTCATTATTTATTAAATGTATGTTGTGCCCTGCTGTGTACCAGGCACTGTGCTGAGTAGAGACAGACAGTGGGGAGTAAAACAAAGTCCTTACTTCCATGTAACTAACCAGATACAAACCTGTGACCAGTGATAGAAAGAAAAACAACGGTATTCAGAGGGAGACCTGAGGAGAATGCTTTAGATGGCTTGTTTGGGAAGGCATCCCAGAAAATCTCCATGTTAGCTGAGAATTAGAAGGATGAGAAGTAGCCTGCAGGGGTTAGTCCAGCCTGAAAAAAGGGAGCAACCTTTGCAAAGGCCCTGCGGTGAGTCTGAAGGAAGAAGTCACAGCTATATTCACATGCAGCTGTATCCACTTTTCTTGTATTATTCCACCATCCCACAGTACTGAATGCCTGCCATGTGTGGCCACTGTTGGGCACTAAGGATACGATGGTTGGTACGGCACACGGGGGCCTAGCTCACACAAGGCTTACAAAACAGCCAGGGAGATGGACAGGGAAGGCAGCTAGGAGGGTGCAGTGTGCTCTAGTCTGAACCTGGGAAGTTCCGAGTGCTGTGGCAGCACTTCAGAACTGTGTCCGAGGCGGTTTCAAGGCCACGGAAGTGACGTTCCAAGATCTCAAGGAAATGACACTTGTTTTGAGATCTGAAAGAAATCTGCATTGGTGGAAATAGAGGAGAGGAAGGGTAAAGAGGTAAAGACCATTCCAGGAAGAGAAAGTAAAATGTGCACTGGGCTTCCAGTGAGAAAAGCCCGCTTGATTCTGTGTGGCTGGAGCTGAGAGCATGATCAGAGCGGACAGAGTGGAAGCTGGAGTGAGGAGGCGCCAGGTCCTGGGTGGACTTGGTGGGCCCTGCAAGCCGTTTGGGCTTTATGTAGAGGGCCCTGGGGGAGCCATAAAGGTTTGAAGCAGGGGAAAGACCTAGGGAGACTTACTTTTCAGTAGACGAGTCTGGCCTCTGCGTGGTGGACGGACGGGGCGGAGGCTGCACCGTGGGTTCAGGCAGCTCGCGTAGTACGGAGGTGGTGGTGGGGAGAAGGACAGGGGCTGGAGAGCTGTTCAGAAGCTGGCACTGACAGGACCTGGGGACTGAAGAATGTGGAAGAGGAAGGGGTCAGGGAGGTTTCCCGGTTGTTTGACCTCAGCAGCCAGTTAGGAGGATGGCACCATTGAGTTAGGGCACCTAGGGGAGAAAAATGACCCTCTTCCTTGTCGTTTGGACAGGTTGATGTGGAGTTGTTGCCACACAAGTGGGGACTTCCAATAGGCAGCTGGATTTATAGAGCGAGAGATCTGGATGTGGTCTGCATGGAGATGACCCCTGGGAGTTGATGCATTCCCCCAAGATGAAAACACGAGAAAACTTAGGACAATCTCCTGGGGAGTGATATTTGCAGAACTGGTAGAAGGGAAGTCTGCAGTGGAGAGGAAGACGGGGTTGGTCACCGGGCCAGGAGGGGCCCGGGGTATAATGTCACGAAACCAAACAGGAGAGGAGTGATCAGCAAGGGAGATGGAGAATTAGATAACGAGCTGTCCTTAGATTTAGCACTGAGGCTATTGTTGGTGACCTTAGGAAATGCAGTTTCAGTGGCCTGGGATGACAAATAGATTATATCACATAAAGCACAGTGATGCTTACAAGCTTTCCAGGAGGAGTAAGTGAAGTAATGTGGCACAGAAGGAAGTACAGTGGAGAGGTCACGATTATTTATTTATAGCATAGTTTCGTCATGAATTAGTTGGCTTGGATTTGAGTACTTTCCAGCTGTGAATTTGTTCTTTTCTATTCTTGATATTTAAGAAAACCCAAATATCTCTTTATTGATGCCACATCAAAATTCCTATTAACGTCACTCATTATTTTCTAGTCTTAGCAAGTGAAAATGACATGATGACATGCATAGTCTCTAGTCTTTGGGTTGTTTAGAGGGCCTTGCAGGTTTGCTTGTTGAGTCTATTGTATTAGGCAGGACTCTCAGCCTTGTCTGCCCATCAGAATTCCCTGTGTGTGTTTACAGACTGTCATTTCCTGGCCTCTACGCCATTCCTACTGAGTATATTGGAATGTCTAGCAGTGGAGTCCAGCATTCGTATTTTTTAAAGCTCCCAGGTGCTTCAGGTACAGCTAGGATTGATAACCAGTGCTGTCTTCAGAACTAGAAGTACAGTGGTGAGCAAGACCAACATGGCCTCTGACCTCTGGGAGCTTGTAGTCTAGTGGGAGAGATACATTTTAAAAAATCACATAAGTATTTATTTATCACATAAGTATAGTTAAGAAAAATGTTAGGAACTGGGCAGTACAGAATTTTACCCCAGTCTGGAGGAAGTGATATTTCCATTGATCCTAAATGACAAGTATTAATTATCCAGATAAGGAGGCGTGGAGAAGTAGTCCAATCCCTCAGTAAATGCCACTCCATCCCCACGCCATGAAGAGGCTAATCAATAACAGTGGTGATACTCTCCAGACATAAATAAGATACATGGCTCACAAGTGATTTTCCTACTTACACTATAACAAACAAGCTATATAATTTGGTTATGAAAATATTTGAATTTTGGGGATGTGTGTGTAATTTATGAAAATGACATATGGACTGTTGGAATTGGGAAAGTTCCAGTGTCCTGCCTCTTATTGTCACATCAATACCTGAAATACCTGATGGCCAAAGGTTTGAATCTCTCTTGAAGGTAAATGAAGACACCTTTACCTGGTGGAGTCCTTCCCTGTCATCTTGATGTTATGTGTTGCTATACGTATTAATCCAGACCTGCTTAAAATCAGCATTTCTGGAAAAAAAAATGACAGTAGCTTATGTGTAACTGGAGCTTTAGCTTTTTTATTCACTCTGACCACGCTTGTTGCAGAACTTGCTCCTCACTTGTGAGTGTGAGATAGTTAAGAATGTACATTGAATGGATCCATTTGTTAGCAATGAGCTAACGTAACAAAAATACCAAGTTTCGTGAGTTAGTCTTTTTTCTTAGGAAGTGAAAACATAAAATTTATAGCTCTTTGAACTTACTATACAAATTTCATGACAGTACAATATAAATTTCCTGAATTCATTAGCTATTCGTAGGTTGTATTTTAATTTAGGTTATTTTTAATCTTCCTTTGACGTCCAGAAGAACACGCTTAGCCGCGCCCTCTTTCAAGTCTGCAAACACTGCTGCTGTCAGTGACAGAGATAACCCCAACACGGAAGAGCCTTTTAAGTGGAAGATCGCTGTGTTCTTGTGAGCTCACAGAAGGAACTTTTGTTATTTTATTTTGGAGAATTCCAAACATACTTAAAAGTAGAAAGGATAATGTAATAATCGCTCATGTACCCACCCTAAGTTCAGTGGTTATCAACTCATAGCCAATCTTACGTTATCTATACTCTTGCCTGTTTCTTCCCCCTCCCTCACCCTGAATTATTTTGAAGCAGGTCACATCATTTCATCCATAATTATTTCAGTATGTAATTTTTATCAATAAATATGCTTTTTAAAATCTGTAACCAAAACACCATTATTATTACCTAAAATATTATCAATAATTTCTTTATATCGTCAAATATTCAGTTAATTTTCAAATTCAGAAGCAATTTAATATCTCCAGTATCTAAGTACTTTGATATCATTGCTCTTTCATTGATACTGCAAAGGCAATTGATACCAAATGTGGCACAGATATAAACAGAACATGTGTTTCCTAGAAAGGAAGAATTAACCATTAGTAAAATATGGTCCACTTTGGCTGATTTGCATTTAGATACTTATCTGGTTGTCATCATTCATGCATATATATGTCGTTGGACACGTTAGCTCTTTAATGTACACTTATGTGCATTTATACAGGCAATGTAATTATATAAAATATAGGTGTTTGCCTTAATGATAAGTTTACTGAGAATAAGCACAATTTTTCTTTTATGTAATCTACAGCCAATTGTTTATGATGGACTCTCAATTGATATTTATGAGTGTCTTAATTATATATAATATAAATGTAAGGTAATGTGGCAAAGGTGTCCTAAATGTCATTTGGACTTTCTATTGGATGTCATCTCCTAATTATGATATTTTAGATCTGGAAGAGGCCTGGGGAATGGTCTAGGTCAATAGATGATTTTAGGTTTATTTTGCGGTTGACGAAGGTGTCTCAGAGCAGCCAGGTGACGGCCAGCTTTTCTAGGCCTTGGGTATGGCAGAACTGGCGAGTGGTCCAGACTTCCCCCCATCCCAGCAGACTGCACTGCCTCTGGACCAGTGCAGTAGGACAGCAAGTTCCACAGCACCTCTCTGTGTTCTGTGGCCGCAGCAAATATTTCATCAGACAGGATTTCTGAGTGTGATGAACGTGACAGTGACAGTGCCTGTATCTCCTTTAGCACTTCGCTGTGAAGCTCCGTCGCTTTTATCCAGGGATTCTCAGGAACCTGTTTTCAGGATGAAAGCTTGCTGCATTCTAAGTCTAAAGAATGAGTTGTAAGTTGTTTGATTATAGTGTCTGTACTTGGACTTTAACACTGGAGAAGAGACGTGGTTGTAATTGTTTAAGGAGAACCCCAGGCAGAGTGGTGGTTAAGAACTGAGGCAGTCTTGTGAAATAAAATATAATTTTAAAAGATGGACTATAAATATTTCAGACAGGAAAAGGTTTCTTGGTGTCTTTTTTAAGTAAAGCTGGTCTTTATCCA